TGTCACTAGAGGATGGCCACCGAGGGGGTTTTAGTAGGTGAAATCCTACATAACCCTGCCTTCCCCCCAGAAGGCAGGGTATCTTTTAAAGATTTCCCCCCGACACCAAAAAAAAGGTACCGATCATATGCTGTATCGTGGATGTGGAGAGGTGCGTGGCGGTGGGCGAGAGCGCGGAGTGCGCGGCGTGCGGGGCGAGCGGCGCGGGCGTGCGCGGCGACCGCTCCCCGCGCAGCCGCGCCGCCACCACCAGCCGCTCCGTCGACCCGTCGTCCACGCCCGTGCCCAGCCAACGGTTGCATGGGAATCTTATAAAAAAAAACACATTATGTCAAAAGATAGATCACTTCTAGAAAAGTAAACATTTATATTTGTAAGTTTGTCTGTACTAATATTATAAAGATGAAAGACCAATCCGCTAAGGAAGTGCCATAGACAAGAAACTGAACTGAACTGAAAGATTTGTATTTTTGTATGTATCGAAACGACTCAAAAACTACAAAATATTTTTCAATAAATCTTTCACCAATACACCAATAGCTACGTTATAAGTGAGTATAGGCTATATCTTACTTATATTATAAATGAGAAAGTTTAGATGAATGGATGTTTGTTAGAGATTATAACCTAAACAGATTTCGATGAAATTTGGTATAGATGTAGAGGATAGCCTGGATGAACATATGGGCTACCCACTTTTGTTTTTTTTTAATCTACGCGGACGGAGTCACGGGCGAAAGCTAGTTTATTTTTATTTCCGCGTAAAGGAAAATGCGGCCCACAGCTAGTGTATAATAAAAAAATTACTAACGTGTATGTATGTCCAGTGACCTCATTCCTAACAAACACCTGGTCCAGCAGCCACCGCGGCGACAGGCCGCTGTTGTCGTGCCCGATACGTAAAGTTGATAGGATACCTAGATTTTTGTGCTGGAAATAGAAACACAATTATAATTATAAATATTGAATATAAGATAAAGAGATATGCATATTACGATCGAACAACTAACTATAATGATAGAGTAAAAGAGAACGACATACACAAACCAATAAAAGATAAAGTGAGATAGTGTATACTCATCGAAGCTGTATAGCTTATAACCGTAGGTTTTCACTGCCTACAAAAAAATGTGTCAGTTTTTCAGACTATGAAAGAAATGACAATTGTAACGTACGTGAAAGACGAACTCGTTGGTATTACGAGGTATGGGGATTTTGGGCGTAGACTCTCCGTTAGCGCCGGAGATGGAGAGCCAGCAGTTGGCGGTCGTCTGACTGGCTTTACGAGATGGTGCTATCAACACGCGGTATGGTAATTCTGAAAATTTTAAATTGCAAAGTTTGTGTGCGGGGTAGGTAGTTACCAAAAATTCATTTACTGTACACTCAAGAGCATTAAATCTGGGTCACTTAAAAACCTAGAAATCTCGTAAACTAGTAAACTCTAATGTAGTAATAAGTAAACTAAAAACTAGTAGTAGTAAACAGCACTTGTTTTTACGTAATTTTTAATCCATAAAATGTACTGGGTTATAAATATTATTTTAATTTAAGGAGTTTTTAATTGTCTATAAAGCACCGTTTATTTCATTAAGCATTTTTAGTTTACAGGATTTATATTTTTTTTTGTTTTAAGACCCGGATTTAATGCTCTTGACTGTAGATGATTTTAATGTGTTATTACAAAAATATGAGCAGTATTGGCAATAACGTTATGTTCTGGTGAATAATACTTACTAGTTGTTGGATAAGTGTTGGTAAAGCAATTGTAATCGACGGCATTTAACGTCAACAAATGATAGAGAAATTGCTCCCTTTCTTCTTCACATCGTAAAAACGCTGTTCTCTTGTACTGAGAGCGCAGCAGTGTTGTATCAGCCAGCAATTCCCGTAAGTGCTTCGATAGCAGCTTCTTCTCCAGGGAAAGTCGAACCCAAGCTCTAGCGTAACCGATCTCTGTCTTTATATCTGTCATTGCTTGTACATTCCTAAAAAAATATGAATAACGATTTACATAGAATAACAGAGCCATCACCATTCGATATTAAATAACCTGTATAAAGGCAAATTTGGCATGTTTATTGATTTGCACACAGAAATTATAAAATCTAGACTTAACTGTCGCACTCAAAACGCGCTAATTCGTCATTAAGGGATACTTTCTAGTATAGATTTAAAGCATGACAAAACAACACTTAACAACTTTCTGCAGCAGGAACCTAATACTAAATTATAATTATTCTTACCGCATATCAAAAGTTAAGCTTTCGGGAAGCGGACGCATCGGGTTCGAAGGTTGGCTGGACTTCCTCTCCAAGGTCCCGGAGTTGCTGAGTCGATCCCGGGAGCTGTCCCGCGAGCCGCCGCGGGAACTGTCGCGGGAGCGGGTGCCGCTGCTACTCGCCTGGTGCGCTTCTACCTCCGCGCCAACCGCGGATAAGTCTACCAGAGAAATATGTAATATACAAATATTTGCCGGTATAAATACCACGTTAAAATAAATAATTCAATTTATAAAAGCGTAATATCTATTCCTTCGATCGCGCTTCGTATGTTTTTGTAAACTGTCAGATTTATTCTCTGAAATAGTTTTCAATCGATACTTACAATCCAATCGTTTCCTCAAAACACACCATGCTAAGGCTGCATGTACGAAAAAATAACACAATATTAATAAATGCCTTATTTTAAAAATAAGATAATGCCTTTATGTACTACTTATTTACCTGGAGTCAAATAATTAGGATCGATAGGTTTAGTTGAATTGCTGCACTGCTCCAACTCCTGGTAGTTGGTGAGGTGCATCCAGAGCGCGGATTTGCCCATCTTGTGCTGCAGCCCATGCGACCAGAGCCGCTCCAGCAGATCGCAGAGGGAAGCGATCATAGTATTCTCTTCTACACCGGTCACGGACACTTCGCTTCCGAGACCCAAATCCGATTCTTCTGTACCCATTTTTTCAACGAGCATACGTTTCGTTTTGCTTTTACATTCCTGTTAAATATTAAATCTAAGCTAAAATTGAATTTAAAGAATGAGAAGATGAGAAAATTATTTTATACAGAAATATCTGTTAATACTAAGCTACGGACTAAGAAAACATTTTACAAAATAATTGATTTAAGACCTAACGGTCTATAATGGGTTTGAAAGTATTTAGAAAGAAATATTATTCCTCGTAGACGAAGTCGCGAGCAAATTTTTATTACTCATGGGGTATTGTACCTTAAGAAGTTTCTCAACGAAGGTTCTATTGTTTTGCGCGATGGCGGCGGGTGTCACTTCCGTGGAGAGCCGCCGGCCGATGTCACCGAGCAACATCTCCGGCGGACAGTCCTTCACTTGCCACTTCGCGTTCTTAATACGCTTCAAACTGTTCGTCCTGAAATAGTATTAATAAAATGAGTCTAAATTAAACAAAAACGTTGCATTTTTTTAAGGCACAGACAAAAGCACAAAAAGCAAAGCGACATGACTGACTACAAACATTCACTTTTTAATAACATGTCTAGGATTTTACATATGCTACTTTTTGAAGTAGAGAATTAGTTTTTTAGTAATTACAACCAGTTTCTTGAATTAAATTAACAAATTAGTTATTAATTGTATTGTATAATTTTCAGGAATATATTATAAAAAAAATATATGTAAATTATTTTAAACTTCAGGTGTTATTTAAAATGCCGTTAAAATATTTAAAATCATTTATTCGTATAAATTAGAAATTTAATAAATAAGGAATACATTTCGTAAAACGACTGCATTACTACACATTTTAACATGGATTAACAATCTTACCGTAATCTGCGGAAACAGCCGTACAAAAAATGTTGCTATCGCAGCTTTTATAAGAAGAATGAGCGGGAGGTATACATATTTTTCTACGGGTGTTTCGGCAAAGGTAACGGTTAATAAACTATTCGATCCAACTTTGAATGTTGACAACGTTCACAAACAATTGAATTCACATATTGTTCTTACAAAAAACAACACAACACAAGTTTAACATGCCAAAAAAAATTTCTTTTTTTCTTCTAATCATGCATTGTCACACATGCATTAAAAAAAATTACAATGAACATGTTTTTAATTGCAAAATACTTTTAAACTCTATAAAATCAAAATAATTCGGATATAATTAACAATAAAATATATAAAATTAATAATTCTGTAATTAAACATAGCTGCCATTTTATTATTATAATTATTTTGTGTTCGTCGTTATTTTAATATAGCTAACATATTCTGTACAACGTCCTTATAAGCGGAGCGTTACATTTAACTTCGAATTTTGGTAAATAGTTTTGATACCTAGGTTTAATTGTCAGGCCAAAAAGAGCTTTCGCGACACGCGATTGGCTGTTATGTAAAAAAGAATGCTTTATTTTAAAATCCTTAAGAAAATTATAAACTTTAAGACATTTTAATAATGGATTTAAAAAAACAAATTTTAATAATGGTATTTAGATTCGAGTATTAATATTATACTAAGGACATACACAAGCATTCATGCTCTCTAAAAGTAGGAAAAAAAAATTTAATCACATAATCATGCGATTATAATCACAAAATGAACAGTTCTGTTTTCACATATGATGCGTTTTGACTAATCTAGAATAATCTATACTGTAAGTTCTTTTTCGTAGTAACTACCTCTATGAAAATATAGATATACAAAAAAAAACACAATTTTTTACTCTTAGAAACACATATTTTGTTTTAATTAACAACATTATTGATAAAAACTGTAAATGAAATGAAAAAAAAAGTAAAATCAGTCAAAACGCATCTCAAAAATACTTTTTATGAGTGTATTCGAATTCGTCATTTACCTTCAAGGTTAATTTATTGTACAGCCCGTTTAGTCATAAAACTAAATACTTTAAAGCGTACAAAATACTGCTAAAGATAAAAATTTCAATGGTAAACAACAAAAATACTTAAACGTAAAAAATTGCTAAGAGTTTTGTTTCTTAGAATAATCCAATACGAGATTCTGTTATATTTTAAAAAATAATGTAAAAAAAATATATTTTTATAAAACATAAAAAAATAAATTAAACTTATAATAATAAATCCTACAATGATCAGTAGGATCAAATAAATTTTACTTACAAGTATGAATTAAAACATCTTAGTGCAGAATATTGAAACGACATTCAAACATGTAACAACGTCTTAAATGATAAGACCACGCTTAAATTCCATATTATATAAAAAATGTTTACCTCTGACAATTTAAGCGGCGGTTACGAAGCGTAGTATGTAAGATTCGTTTCAATATTCAGCAGCATTTATAACAAGTAAAAGTTTTATTATTAATAAATACTTGTACAAAACATCAGATTGTGAAAATAAAAGGAAACCAAAATTAACTTAAATAAATAACTTACTAACTTAAATAAAATTTGAACTTTTAGCATTTATACGGTAAACAGAAAGACTATAATAATTTTAGAAAGCGTTACTATTATCAGTTTAAACCACATTGCACAGTATTAACGGTAGTTTGTGTGTATGTTTAGCACCTTATATTATCTATGGTTAAAATATGAATACAAAGGTGTGGAAGCCAGTAAATATTTATGTAAAATATAAGCACCTACAACAATTGGAACTACAAGTCGGCCAGTTTAAATGATAAACGATATTTAAGCTGCCTTCAGAAGTTAATGTATTAAATATAACGTGTATTTGCTTCAAAAGATGAATATAAAGAAAGCGTAAAAAATCTAAAGTATTTCACTGGTTTGAAAACCATATAAAAGCTGTTAAATTTACATATACACTAACAAGTTGTGTATTTAATATCTTTATGAGACAGATGACATTGGTATTATTTTGTAAGCACAAATATTATTTTTAAAACGCAATTAGTTACAGGCATATAACATGGGCTACAAGCGTAACAGACAATATCCAACCCCTCTCATTGGCTAACACACAATCATGCGGATTTATACATAACACATATAAATTTCTCAGCATTCTAGGAATGAAAAAGCTGTCAAACATAAAAAAAAATAAAAGCACGTCACAAAACATCTCTCATGATGATTCATGCAAGACATGCCAAAGATTTCTAACTTTTAAAATAATAAACTAATAAACCTTTAGGTTTATTCCAATAATAAAAAATTGCGGAAATAAAAAAAAACTATGCCTAACATCATTGTCTTGTCAGTCAAGTGTGAGCAAACGTTACGATTAGCAGTAAATGTTTTGACATTTTTTACCAATGATTTATCCTTTTTAATGAGTATATAATAATACAAGCTCAAAGCCGCCAAGATGAAAATAGCAGATACATAATGAAATCTTATGGGAAAAGTATAATAAAGGCCTTAAAAATATAGGTGAAAGTAAGGAAAATATCAAATCAAATGTTACAAACATTTAAGCAGGTAATGATACAAACTCATGCATTTTTACAAATGTATATGCTAAATAATATCAATTTCTCTACAGTTCATTTATAACTATGATCGATATATATTTCATTAAAATAATATTAAACAAAATCTAGAGACAGCCAACTACTTAACTTTAACAAAATGATTGCCGTGCTCGTAGACGTGTCACTATAGTCTCATGTCTAGGAAGCATTGTTACACAAAAAGCGCTCTAACAAGTAAACAATCTACATGTAAAACTAAACGAAACACCTTGTCATTAGTAAATGAGGTTTTTCGTACTGGAAAAGCGACCTTTTATTCGGTACTTGGGGTTTTGAAGTTCGGCTTGTTTGCACACATTATATATTAAACTAATAAATAAAGAGTTTTGTTTATTCATTTATCGAGTGTATCTTGGATAAAAGAAAACGTTAAAAATGCCAATGCTTCAAAATCCTCAAGCAGTTAAGCCCAAAAACAGTTCGCGGTATCAATTGTTTTGGTCAATATCCGCGGCGTGAGAGGGCGGCGTTAGAGGGCGTCATGAGGCGTCATGGGGCGTCAGGGGCGTCAGAGGGCGGGGGGGCGCACCTGCGGTCGTTGGCGGGGGGCGGGGCGAGCGCGGCGGCGTCAAGGCGCGCGGGGAAGGCGCGGTAGTAGGCGGCGCGGTGCGGCAGGCGCTCGCCCGGTGCGCCCACCTCCAGCTCCGCGCCCACGCCGCAGCCCGCCCCGCCGCCCAGCCCCGCCCACACGCTGTACCCGCGCGTCGCCAGGCCCCCCTCGCCCAGCCGACGTCTGCAACAACATCGTATCGCTAGATCGCACCCACTGTCACCCACACCCAGCCATAAGGAACTAGCAAAGCTCCTCAACAATCTCACTGTAACTAATTGAGAAGCTAGAACATAACATTAACTTACGAAATACCCTTCAAACCTTGGACACCGTTAGTTTTACTAGTGTTATTTGTTATGCATTTTACGTGTTATTGCACATTGTTAGACGAGTACATATTTGTTAGTGTTCTATGGCATTAACGCATGGCACGTGCGTGGATAAGAACAATGTACAATAGATAACTCACCTGACGACCTTGATGCGATGCTCGAAGACTTGCAAGTTGACGTCATAGTCGCCCCAGTTGGCCATGATCTTGTTGTCTATGAGCGTGGCGAACATCTGCGTCTCCAGGAAGCGCGAGAGGAAGGGCCGGTGCCGCTGCGGCTGGTCCGAGAGGAATGATGCCTTGTCGAAATTCACCATCGATTCGCGCGCCGTCAGCCATGAGTCACGATCCTAGGACATAGACAAACACATAACAATTTTGGACAATATTTTGTTAACCTCAGATTAAGCAAAAGTAAGGAATTTAAAATCTTCCCTCAGAAAGGTTCTCACCTGATCCGGCATGATGACAAAGTTCTCGTACATCAGGAACATGTGCACGAATCGGTTGAGGAATGTCTCTCTGATGGCCATGTTGAAGCGGACGTCCTCGTTGTACTGGTCTTCATCGTTAAGGATCTTCTTCTTAGTCGTCGGCATCACCGTATCCGCATCCACGTCATCTATATTCACACCTGAATAGAGATATAAGATTTCTATTTGAAACTAAGTAACTTGCAACACCTAGCTGTAGTAGTTCGTGAGTTTGTACACATTGTTTTATGATGGTTAAAGACAGATGGGGATTAACGATATGTCTATGTGAATGTGTCATTTCAGGATTAGTCTTTTGTTCGTAAAGGCCACAATCTTAGACGTAATAAATTACAGAAGGTATCATATTAAGGTAAGTAGAAGGCATCAATCTCAAACTTCAACTTGGACAATCGTAACATATTCATCTCTAAAGTTCGGAATACTGAGTAAATATTTAAATTCTGTCTTTAAAAAAACGGTCAAGTTCGATCCATCAACAAGGTCAATCACCGAACCAGCTTTCTTATGGCCGTTTTGTCTACGAAGCAAACGGCAACGTCAGGTGACAGTTGATTATTAATGCAACTTTTTTTTTTTATTAAAAAACTTATCAATAGTGATATAATCTTACGTTCAAGTAGGCTACTTAGTTTATAGCGATTTTAAGTCTGCAAAGCAATTCTATGTCCATAAAAATGTCATGAAATTGTTGGAAAGCTTTTAAAATTAAACAGACCATTAACATGATTAGTCTAGTCTATGAAGGTCGTGACGTACCAGCATTATGTTGAGGTGTGAATCACGAACGAGTATAGTCTATACTATGTTTAGCAAAAACTAAATATAAAATTATACAATATACGTGGCAATTTTTACTTGAACAATTGCTGTTCACTCATATTACTTTGAAAATATGAGCAAAAACCCTGACGCGATATTATAAAACGATAAATTAACATTTTTTGCATCCCGTCTCATTACCGCGTTTGTCTCTCAATTAGGACAACGTATGATCCTAGTTTCACAATGAGGTTACCTCATTTATGTTAGAAATAGATTGCTTCACAATTGCGTATGTAACGGTTAGAAATTATGTTTGTCAATAAAATATAGTTACAATAATAATAAATACTAGATGTTTCTGTGCGGCAACATCCGCGTGATAAAAACTTTATTTTATTATTTACATTTGTCAAATTCTCAAACTTAAAATTACCATTATCCTAATAACCCTGCTTCGTTAATGTTGGCAGCTTGAAGTTTATGGTACTTTCCCACATGAAAGTTTTTTTCAATTTATTTACCCTTAAGTTTAATAGCGTGAAAATATATAGCCTAAAGCCTGTCGTGAGTTTTCATTGAAGAAAGAATTGTTCAAAAACATGCTGTAATTGCTGACATCTTACGCCACAAAGTAGTGTGTATTTAAGCTTTATTATAATAGTATAGAAGTAAAGATTGGTATTAGTATAGATTAAGACAAAAACTGAATTACTTTGAATGTCAATGTTATTAGAGAGCATCGCCCCAAAGTCTTTGTCTGGGGACAAAAATGTTAATAAACTAGTTCGAATACACACAAATCAATGCTAATACGTCTACGCAATGTCATTGACTCGGTCGGGTCAAATAGATTCAACTTTGGCGATGTCATAAAATATGTTAATATGCAGCTAGTAGATTTACATAAATTCACTTTTAGGATATATATTATTTATTTATTATGCATACTTATATACGGTAATAAATACTGCTTAGTCATACAAATTCGTAGGTCAGTCACCTATCATTTGAAACACGGCCTTCGGCATCAATTATTTCTAAATATTATGTTCATGCATATATCCAAGAGGTTTAAGGTAATTAAAATACTTATGATAAGATGACTTACAGACGTATCATTCGTCATTCACATCAACTTCGCGTGGGATCTAATAAGCAAAATGAGATACGTTATATGTTATACCATACTCTCCTCTACAACTTTCATCGAAATCCGTTCAGCCGTCAAGGCTACAAAGTCTAACATCCATCCATTTAAACTTTCGCATATATATTAGTAGTAGCTTTCGCCTGCGACTCCTTCCGGGTAAAATGAAAAAAAAAGTAGTCTATGTGTTCTTCCAGACTATGCTCTACATATATGCCAAATTTCATAGAGATCCGTTAAGCCGTTTAGGCTACAAACGCTAACAAACATCCGTCCATCCATCTAAACTTTCTCATTTATATCAGTATGAAGTGTGATAGTGTGTGACAGTTTGTGTATTATTCAATAATTCACCTGTTCGTTTAACAATATCGACGATGCGCTGCAGCGCGTCCATGCGGCGCGGGGCGCGGCGCGTGGGCGAGGCGGGCGCGGGCGAGCCGGGCGGCGACGCGTTCAGCGGCCGGCTCTCGTCCCACTCCAACACGTCGTGGAACGAGTGCTTGCGACGGAGACCACCTGCATACAATGAAAACTACTATTCAAAATGTCTAACATTGTTTCACAAAAAATGGGAATAAAACAACATACATATCCACCCACTAGGATTTTCTTAGCAAGTTAGTATGTAACTACGTACTCCCGGCTTAAATACATGACACAGAATGCTGTAATAGTCTCATTTCAATGTCGTATATGCATTCTGTCGACACTATATTATAAGTCGCTATCGACTTCGTTCGCGTCAAATTAAAAAATAACATTTGTAGCCTGTTACTCACAGATTTACCTTTGTTACCGTGAAAGAATCGGCCCAGTAGTTCTTGAGTTATTTCAATATACACAAAAATACAAATCTTTTCTCTTTATAACATTAGTACAATCAGTAGGTTACTTTCCTTATAATCAATAAGTAGTGGAACATATTTCATGGTCAATTATGTAAATTTACATTATGTTATTTACAAGTCTTTATATGGCAAGGTATGAACACAGGTGCGGGCAGAGCAATTATATTGTAATGTTGATTGCAGTTATACTGCAAATGGTTCTGTGAAATTAATAAACATAAGACCTACCGTCAAAGTTGCGAGACTGTGTAATCTGTTTACTTAATAACAACAAACAAATGGCATAGTAGACCAACAAGATATAAGTTAAACTAAATTATGATCACTAGCTCACTAAAAAAATAAAATAAAAGTGAGTAGCCAGTGTTCTTCCAGACATCATCTATGTCTATGCCAAATTTCATCGAGATCCATTCAGCCATTTAAGCTCCAAACTCTAACATACATTCATCCATCTAAACTTTCGCATTTATAATATCAAAATAAGATAAAATGTTCACGTAGGTATTACATATTTTCTGTCAGAGATCCTTGTATAGTCAAACATAGTAAATTGTAGGGAGAAACATCAAAGTTAGTACTAAACGGTAATGTGCACTTACCCGATGGTAATGTACAACTGCTACTCATCCCATCATTCATATGTTTATAAGTTCCATTAATTGGCACACCAAGTTTACTCAATTCAGTTTCTGGTCTTTGTATCTGTAACAATAAAACAAAATATACATTCTGTCATATAAAGTATATAAAAAGTTATTTAAAAAACAAAACAAAAATACCTGATGTTTATCTAATACATGATTGAGTTCTTCCATGAAGGGTGTTCTGTGCGGGAATATGGGCATTTCTTCCGGCAGTTGTATGTCAGGCTTGTCAATATCGACTAAGCAAAGTGCTGCTTCAGAGCCAACCGCGAAGCTCCTTGGGCCATTGGGGCCAATACTTATAGCCACACTATCCGCATGAAGACCTGATTTATAAGAATATTTTAGAGGTCATTGTATTTTCTAGGACAAATGGACCTAGCTTAGATTTAGAATAAAAATGACAAATCATAGATAAAAAAATAATTCATTTTCAATTTCCTTCAAATATCTGTTGTGTAAATAATTTTTAATGTTATATGTATTTTTAATGACTTTCATCTTCATACACAAAAAAATATTAGTTTAAATTAACAATTAACTAATTGTTTTAAGTTATCAAAATAATCCAACAAAAGAGTACAAATCTTACCCATTACGAAGGGAACTGGTGCATCAAGGAAATGGTACAATGGCGCTGGCAGAATGGGCACATACACATGAGCCCATGAGAATGGAACCAGAAGTGAAACTATACACTCAGACACAAGCATTAGCTTGTTATAATCTGGAAAACAAAGAAATATATCGATCATATATTTAAGATTCGATTTTCTTTAAATTTCAAATATCTCTATCATTTGGCATATTTAGTGTATGTTTTACAATATGCGATTGCTGACACCAGCTGAAAGAATTTTATATAATGAAAATCTTAGGGAAAATATTGTATTTCTTACCACTAGACCTAAGTAGCACTTGATGCTCTAGCAGTACACATGTAAACAGTTGCACAACACATTCTACACCTAATGTAGAGAACATTACACGCAAAGGATAATCAAGAAGTGGTAACTCTTCCGGCGGATTTGGCATTCGTATCACCTGCAATAAATTTTACTATAATGTTCTTAGAAAACATAAACTATTCATTAAATACACTTTTTTCAATTGAGTTACTCAAACAATAAAATTGAAAAAACAATCATTTCAATCCAACAAACTGGGTTAGTTAATTTTATTACTTTAATGATCTTATTAGGAAAGCTCTTTGTATGTAGTGTGTCAAAGACTTGTTAAAGAGAACAAAATGTTACTTACAACTGGGATTGGATCAAGATGAGGTTCAGACGGTGGTACATACAAGCGCAAAGCTTGTCCTGCGAGAGGAACAGGAACTTCATACAACAAGTTGTACACATAGGACTCAGGACTAAGACCAGGTCCAGGTTGTCTTGGCAATGACCTAAATAAGTATGATAATGTAATCTTCAAACTGTACTAATATAAATGTTTTAGAAATACCTAAAACCTATTAAAAATAGCCTTCTCCTGCCACTTTTTCTGTGGGGAATTAAAAAAAAAACAGTCTATGTGTTCAAGACTATCCACTACTTCTGTATCAAAATTAATCAGGATCCATTCAGCAATAAATGTTGCAAACTCTAATTTGTAATATTAGTAAGATATAAAGTAGGTGTAATGAACAAGGACACATAAAACTAGAGAAGCATACAAAATGATTACCTGAACAAATTCTCTAAAAATAATTGTGCTACCCTAACATAGGGGTATTGACATATAAGAGCAATGCTTTTGGCAACATAAAGTTTATCTTTGGTTATATCATAATATGTAAGTGCGGCTCCCGTGTGTGGTGCAAGTTTAAATGACCGTGGCAAGGATCTCGAACTCTCTTTGCCAGAGCTCTTTCTATTGCCAGGTGGAGTTTGTCCACTTGACAGCTCTGTGATGTACATTGCCTGTAAAATAGAAACATTTTTGTATGCAATTACTTCTGAGATTACCAATATTTAAATTAATATAGTATTTAAACAAATGGATACCTGCAATGTATGCATGGCACTGCAAATATTCCGGTTCCTAACTTCTTCATAAAATATGAGACTGAATCCATAGTAACGGGATGCATTTTCACGAGTTACAACAAAACTATGAAATTTGGGTTCTAAAGAATGTTTTTGAGTTCTAAACTGCAAACCAGCAGGCAAACAAAGCTGCAAATAACAGTGTTGTTATATTTTCTACAAATTTATAATAAAATATTACTTTTTCAATGCATATGTAACATTTCATTATGAAAATTATGCAATGTCATTTGTTTGAATGAAAATAGTGAACATAACATGGTATCTAGTATAATTTTCTTGTTCAGATTAAAACTTAACTTTTGTACAGTCTTATTTTTAGGCAGAAATGTGCATTGTATTTGTCTTGACTATGCATTATAGTTTTTACAAATCTTATAAATCCTAGCAATAAATACTTAGTTAATAGACATTGAAATTATATATTGTGTACTTAATATCCATAAGTGTAAATAGACAATGAAAAGAATCACAAATCATAGTTACAAAACTCACCATACATACTGCATGTTCATCAAAAGGATTACTGTTTACATTATCTGGATAGTGAGCTAAGATTTTTCCCTTATAGGAGCGATCTAAAGGAGATATATGTAAATTATCACCTAAAAAAAGAATTTTATAAATGAAGCGTATCGAAATGTTAAAACAAAGATATTTTCATAACTACAGTATCCAATATTCACCACAAAGCCTGTCTGGTTCCAATCCGGAGTCAAAGTCTAGTCCACATATCGCAAAATAATCAGCAAAACGACATCCCACAGATAAATCTGAGACGGACATATTCATATCGACCCGTTATTTATTTGAGACACTTTCTCTTCCAGCAACAGTTTTGAACATTTTGACTCAGCATTGTTTTAAAGACAATGAACTTGGATATTTAATGATGGTAAGTTTTAAATTACATATTTTTCGACATTCTTTTATGCAAATTATAATAAATCTCGAGAAATATAGGCAAGTAAACAATATTTAATAGCGAACAAAAATCCATTCATAGTCCACTCCACTCACATTCACACACTGACAGTAGAGTAGACATCATCATAAACTGACATTGACATATAGAGTTGTTCGTTGATAATTTGATAATAAAAGCCGATAAAACGGGTTATCGGTTTCTATACAAAAACGAACATGTAGATAAAAATACGTTCTTGTATGCGTTGAAGTATCGTTTAATAATATATATGTACATGATTCTTTTGGTACACGCAATGAGAAGTGACATTTAATGTCAGGGTAATAGTGACATAGCTTGTCAGTTCACTTCGCGTCATTATTACGCATTTAGTGTGGCTTTTTAATGTTATTCTATGAAAAAAAGTATTGAAAGCGTTTAAAAATAGTGCAAGACAGTTTTTTTTAAGTGGGAGATATTTTTATCGCTGAGAAGAAGTACGGGGGTCTAGTAATTACATTTGAAAATATGAATCATCTTGTGTCTGTTGCAATCAGAATTTGTTACCATTTGTTAATCAATAAATTCCCTAACTCTCAAGGCGACGCATTTTTAAGATTTGTATTTTTAAAAAAATGTTATATATTAATTGACTTAAAAATATTTTGCTGAAAGTTGTTTTATTTAAAATTGCAGTGACCGACCCTTTATTGTAACGTGTTTTGTGCACCTGGAAGTATGGGCCTCTTGACGTTAAAATCATATTTACTTGCGTATTAAGGAAATTACTGTGTGTATTCATTTGTTAGCTTTTTACCTATTTTTGATGTATTCTTTATTCTTAAAAGTTATGTGTTAATCTGTGCTATTTATCAATACATTTATCATTATTTAAAAAAACAATATTGTTAGGAAAATGGTAGTTTTATAAAATATATGGAAGGGAGTGGCTCGGGCTCAGTTACAGTCTCGGCTCTCAGTCGCCAATAAGCTCAGTTATATTGTAAGGTGCAAGTACTTCCTTTACAATTTGCTTTTTCGTTATTAAAAGGAAAGAATTTCCTTTTAATGCGGACATATTACCTTACTGGTAACCCTAAAGCTCAGAGGCGCCATCCTGTCAATGTCAAAAATATTACTAGAACAGAATAGAGCTCTTGTTGGAAAATGGCGCTTTTTTCGTGTTACCCAATTTGGGGGTGAAGATTGGTCTCTATTTCAGTATGTTACTCTGTGCTGTACATCTTGCGTGAGATATAAAGAAAGTAAAACCTTGTGGTAAGGGCGTAACAGTCTTGATGCACGCAAAATAAAATTGAAGTCGAGAGAGAGGGCTACAAGTATCCCCTATGTCCCTTTCTAACAGTGGCCTAGAGTTGCCAGACATCAATCCTTTCGTTGTTTGTAGAAATATAGGCGATTGGTGTAATGTAATGAAGTAAAAACATTTTCTTCTATAATATTAGTAATAATTTATTACCAAAATGTTAAAGCAATATGATTTGTTGCTACGTGTAAAACCTTCTTAACTCAAAAAACGATTGGCGTAAAGGTTTTCGTTTACTTGTTTGAAATTCGACACTTGAACTGATACATTAAAATCCATCTGAAGCAATAATCTACTGACGTCAGACCACAAAAACAGGATTTTTGATTACTCTCTTTAAATCTCATTTCTACATAGTCACCATCGCCAGAGAGGGATAAAAGGTACAGTTATAAAGGTCTCACTCGGCTTCAATTTCGCGACAAGAGCTCATTCCTGTTCTAGTACTTCCATGGCTCTTCTCTATATCTGTTTTATCTCTATGGTTTTATCAATTCAAAAGTCAAAAGGCTATATTCTTTGATTCAATGTCAGTTTGTGGGTTGGGTGTGTGTGAGTTCTGAGTTTTCATTTATCTAGAAAATAATTATTTTAATGTTTTAATTTTATTTATTGTGTGCAAGTTGATATGCGTGTTTTTGTAACATTTTTAATACATATCACAGCCAACTGTAACGGTAGCTTCGTGTGAAGATTAGATTTTTATTTGTTAAAGAATTGGCATCAATAAAAGGTAAGCGATAACATTGATTTTGCAAAAAATGTTAAAACTGTCACAAATCTTTTAGTATATATGTTAAAACTGATCTTAAATTAAACAAAGACAAGTTTCTTTAAGGAAGTAGGTTATGTTTATCCGAGAATTCTAGTATAACTTGGACCTTATAGTATTATATTAGGGTAAATTTTATTGCATTTGAATCTTTTTTAATAAACCCCAAGTCTTATTTTTTTGTATATATTCCGTTAATATAAAACATAAAAATAAAATGGAAAGAATTGTGATTCATTATTTATCTTGTATTAACTGGTCATAGCATAACTAAGCGTTTAAATACAGATAAAACCTCCTAAGTACTTAATTGTTTGGTTTCAGAATGCTGAGAGGAAGGGTGCAACATTTACTTCATTGTTTGTTTTTTATGACATTTATATATATTTTCTTAGTATTTGCGGGTGCTATTAGATTGGATGATAAAGAAAAGAGAATTATTGATCCATGGGAAGAGTATGGAATCTATGGCACAATTACTCTTTATGTTCTCAGGCTCCTGACATTACTAACAATACCACAAGTACTGTGCAATTTTGCAGGATTAACATTATTTAATGCTTTTCCTGGTAAAGTGAAACTGAAAGGCTCACCATTATTAGCACCCTTTATTTGCATCAGAGTAGTTACTAGAGGAGACTTTCCAAAGCTTGTAAGGGATAATGTCACAAGAAATATGAATACATGTATTGATGTGGGAATGGAAAACTTTATGATAGAAGTAGTCACTGACAAAGTCATTAGTTTGCCCAAGCATCGCAGAGTAAGAGAAGTGGTGGTCCCATCTGAATACAAGACTAAAACTGGTGCTTTATTTAAATCTCGTGCATTGCAATATTGTTTAGAAGATGATGTGAACATCCTTGCTGACACTGACTGGATAGTCCATTTGGATGAAGAAACATTGCTGACGGAGAATTCTGTGCGCGGTATACTGAATTTTGTTTTTGATGGCCAACATCAGTTTGGCCAAGGACTTATTACATATGCCAATGAACAAATTGTCAACTGGCTCACCACTCTGGCAGATAGCTTTAGAGTTGCAGATGATATGGGAAAGCTGAGATTTCAATTCTACCTTTTCCATAAGCCTCTTTTTAGTTGGAAAGGTTCTTATGTAGTAACACAGGTAATTCCCCTACAATACACATTACTTTGATAATAATTAAAAAGATTTCATTTCTTTCATAAACTGTCAACGATTTAAAAAATATAAACTGCTTGCCTTAAGTTTTGAATGTTTTTTTATATATGTTAATTAATCTGCATTTCAAAATTTTGCTTAGTTTTCTAAAGGGGTTTTATTTAATTTTAGGTTGGTGCTGAGAAGAAAATATCTTTTGATAATGGTTTAGATGGGTCTGTCGCTGAGGACTGTTACTTTGCTATGAAGGCATATATGGAAGGTTATACTTTTAATTTTATTGAAGGAGAAATGTGGGAAAAATCACCTTTCACCTTGTGGGATTTTATGCAACAGAGAAAACGTTGGATTCAAGGTATTCTCTTAGTGGTACATAGTAAAGAGATTCCTTTAATTAATAAGGTGTTTTTGGGTATTTCTTGTTACTCATGGGTGACTCTGCCCTTGTCAACAAGTAACATGTTATTAGCAGCACTCTGTCCAATACCGTGTCCACAATTTCTAGATCTAGTTTGTGGTTTTATTGGTGCTGTAAATATTTATATGTATGTTTTTGGTGTCATAAAATCTTTTCCCATTCATAGATTTGGACCATTGAAATTTTCTTTGTTTGTATGCGGTGCACTAGCAACCATTCCATTTAATATTATAATTGAAAATGTAGCAGTGATATGGGGTGTTTTAGGCAAGAAGCACAAATTTTATATAGTCAACAAAGAAGTTAAGATTCCTGTGACAGTATAATTTTTTTTATATATGTACATTTAAAATTTATAGTCACTAGATAAGTGCACAAAATACTTAATGTGATTATGACTGATTGTGAATGATAATGGTTGCTTTTTCTGCGAGGTTTATGGACAATTTTTATATAGAAGTAAACATGAATGTTTTGTTTTGTACCAAAGAATTAAATATTAATTACCTAATAAGATATCTGAAGAGCAATTGTTATCATAGAAGTAGGTTAAAATTTAAAGTTAATTTGTAAAGCTAATTCCTGTTAATTGTATTTTTTCAACAAATATAATTCACCTTAATCAGTAGATTAGAATTCAAGAAAATGTATGTATATTCTCTTGCATAAATTATTTAATTAGCCAAAACTTATTTAACAAGCACAAATTTTCAAATGAGTAAAGTTTTTCATCAGTATTTTTCTTAAATGTATTGATTTTTTTATGAAGAATTTATTTTGTAATAACATGATAATATAAATGATTACCACCTTTATGTAATTCCCTACATCATATTATCAACCCCTATAAAGGGGCACTGAAAGTACTCCTGTATTTCTATATCATCTGTTATATTCGAATTTACGCTCTTACACAATCTCTTAACTTAAGATGATAAAGCATTTTTTAACTTGGATTATAAACATAGTAAAAGTAGCTACTTAAATGATGATCTCTTAAATAATTTAATAATGGCCATAATCACATTAGAAATAGTTATTTAGTATGGTGAAAAGCAATGTTTATTTAACAGTAATATGTTGGTACTTTTATGTTTTATCAGTATTAAAAATATCAAGGCATATAGCAAAAGCTAACATCTAAATTAGATTATTAAAGCTGTTTCTTTTATAATGTGTTAGAAAGTCTGCTTTTTAATATTTAATACATAAGATCTCGCTTCTTTCATGGGGAGTACACAACCGCGCTGAGCGTAATATGTTCAAAATTGTACGCATCCATAATAACATACATTATTGAGACCAATATCATCACAGAAGTGCGTTAACCATATCTACTTAGTTAATGAAGCTGACGGCTAAGCACTGAAACGATATTTAATTATGTAACGGTTAATTATAATACCAAGTTAAAACTCCGATTTCCAAGATAATTTTGATGTCTCTCAAGACTGTAAGCGACGCTCACGAAGTGAAGTGTTAAAGATTCGTTTCAGTATTTCGCCGAAGAAACAAAGTAACGCGTTTCATCAATCAGCTGAATTTTTAGTTGAGACTAATGTGTAAGTTATATTAAATTGTTGGCCACTTTTAATATAATTGTAAAAGTAAGGCTTATCTCACATAAACGAACATATTTTTCTTTCAATAGAAGTACTGTTTCAAGTTATTATATTAATATTATTTTTGATATCAAGATATTTCGAGTAGTTTCCTTTAAATTAAAGGAAATTCGTGCATAATTATGTTTGTTGTTAAATGATGTCTTGTCTTAATTTGTATTAAATCAATTAATTGACATGTTTGAATATTTAGGAATCTTAATAAGTCCAGGCATAAATAATAATTTAGTTTTATATGAAAATACCCTTCGTTTCGTTATTAGTATTATATTTGTATTAACAATTAAATATCATTACAATTTCATACTTGTGTGATAATTCATACAAAAAATTTTGTGTATTAAGATATGTAATTATTTATTGAAATAGGCTCATTAAAGATTTTGTAAACGTTGAAAAGAATTCATTGAAAAACGGTTTATCAGTTAAGTGTTGATTCGTATACAAATAGAGATAAAGGCTTTGCGTATTTCAACACCCAACCTTATTACAAGTCGTGGGTAATATTTTTTTATTCACAATATTATTTTTAAAATATCGAAGATTAACAGAACTATGTTTTGTTTTGCATTAGTTTGAGTTGAATCCTCTTTTAATAAATGATGGGCCTCATCGTTTTTTCAATGGTTTTGCCAACAACATAGAAGATAATTGAAAATGTAAAGTACAAGAATACTTTAATTATTATTATAGTAAAATAGTAATTGCAGTCTTAAATGTGTATACTTGATGAAGTTTAATATCCTCAATTTATTACCTCAACTAACATTGAGATTCAAATAAATGTTAAAAGTATTATTATAAAATATATTGGGCTCATTCAAGGATAGGAAAACCAAAATCATTCACATCTTCCTCATGTCATCAGGAAAAATATAAATGATATTAACATTTACTGCACACAATTAGTCCTAGTCTTTAATCGTATGCTTCTACATGATTATTGAAACCTTTATGGTTTCATTAGGTGTTAGATTTATTATGGTCTTATTTACGTCATAATTTGAGGTAATCGTTCTTGTAAATCACGACCGAGGACGTTCACATGTGATAAATGTGCACGCGAAAAGAGCTGAGCTATACACGTGTATTCTCACTATTAAAACATGTCAAAATTAAGTAAATAATGAAAGTAAGTAAATTTTTACGAAAATTTTTGACTATCTGATGTACTTAGTATTTGTTATATGTAAATGTTTTGGCAGTCCGAATATACGGTTATTGTGACGATACCCATGTCCTCGTAAATACTTGACCGATGCTTAGTACTAAGTTTTATAGCGCTCTACAACTGCAACAGCAAGTTTAAGGCCGGACCACCTACAAATTATGAACAATTTATGCCTCTCACTACTTATTTCATCGAAGAGTTTCTCACTTTTAAGAACTTTTATGTGGTATATTTACATATAATAAAGTTTTTATGTTGCAAGTTTTATAAATTCGAGGTAAACGTATTATAGGTTTAATTGAATTTAATTTTATTATGTAATAACAATTTTTGTGTATTTTTCTTTATAATTATATGGTTGGTATAAAGGTACACAACATTTAACGTTATAGAATTGTTAATAAAATTGTATTTTGAATTTGAAAGATTTAATATGATGAAAAAATATGACGAATGTTCCCGTTTTGTATTCGCTATTTTGTACCTGATCTTAGAATATCCTTGAATTGTTTTACATTGACCAGCGTAAAGGCCCATTTACACTTTGAGCGAGCTCAAGAGATTTTGTAATCGAGAGACATTTTGTAATTTGATTTTTAGAATAATAATTTTTATTTATTGTAAATTTTTGTGTTGATAGTTTAAAATAATTATTTGAAATGTGATTTTAATTTCTAAGCCGTAGAATAGATAGTATTGTGAATAATAAGTACTACACTCTGTCGTTTAATAATTACAAATTGTCAAGTAAAAAGTAATGGTTATTGAATTAAGTCTACGTTTATTTTTTCACTCAAGCCCTTACAGCTCTTATACAATTCGGGAAAATAGATGTTCTCCAATTTGGGAACTGAAGAAATTTTGTAATCGAGCAATACTGACCACTGAAAAAGACCAAAGCCTAATATTATTTAGTTTGCCTGATAAGCCTTATTGTAAACATACACAACTGCTCCTTATCGGTGCCAATCTTTTTCTAAGTTGTACTGAATTATCTGTGACCGGAAATTTTTCAGTAATACAATCCAAATGGATAACGTTATCATTTCAAAACAATCAAAATTGTGAAATATTTGATTTAGATGAGTGAGATACCAAGACTATCACTAGTTTAGAAGTCAACTATTAAGTTCTTGTATAGAAATACTTAGAAAGAACGCTCAGAAAAAAAACGAGATGAGCTTGTCAGTCAAATTAATGGAACAAAATGAATGAAACAGGTGAAACGTTCCCTGAAATTGCAACAAATGAGTTTCATTAGACGAAGGACAATCACAAGTCGAAATAATTAAATTTGTTCGTTGTAACGCGTGGGCGTCGCCATGGTGTGAAAACCAAAACCCCTAGATGCAAGATTATGGGCAGAGGATGTTACAATCTTGTTCACAGTACGAATTTTAAATTTAAACACCCAAGCAGACGTGACACCAAGTGTAAGTCATATCCGTGAATCATTTTTGATAAGATAATTACATCAACGGTTCCGTTACATCGAGGATGGACAAAGTGACAAGGTCATTTTAATAAGTATCTATTGGATGGATTAATTTAGGAGTTTCGTTTGAGTTGGAGTCGGTATTACTTTCTTTTATAACACACGAATCAGTAAAAAAATTAATTATTACTTATATCTTGTTTAATGTTTGAAGTGCTTTGGAAATCGATCTTTGTGATAAGAAATTACTAAAGAGATTAAGGTAATGGTTAATAACTTATTTACTCTATTGCATAGTTTAGATAAAATAAATTATACTTTACAAGGTTTTAGTGGCTCAGACCACCGAAACTGCAGATATTTAGTTCAAAGGTTGCATTGATTTTTCCATTTTCTTCATTAAGCACTGATAGTACCTACCTACTTTTTAGTACACTGCTGCGCAAAAAATCTAGCGTAATATCTTCACTGCTTTCTTAGGGCCTGCCCCACCACTGGCTTATAGAGTCAGGTAGAGTTTCCAAATTCGATACATTTATTACATATTTTATACGTGTATTGTTATCAGCCCCTAAAACACCTTACTTAGTTTTAAACCGCATTGTTTATTATTTGGAAACATTTTCTTGACTAATGAGAATTATAGTAGGCAATTAATGGGAACTAATCGCTCAGAAATTAGTCGAGTGAGTGAGATAAGTTTGAAAGAATTGAACACAGCCTTAGTTGTTTTGTGACACAGAAAATGGTACGTACTCAACTTGCACTAAGATATAGTTATCATTTACCTACTCTGAATTAATCTTATCATTTACAACAAATATCAATTAGTAGCTTATCGATTATAAATAAATATAAATAGATTTCGTTGTAATTGTTAACGCAAATATGAACACTTTTCCGACAGGATATGAGTAATATTTAACTATTCTGTTTATTTTAAATTAATTATAATCTTTTAATTCTGTTAGCTATTTAAAATGATATTTAACTTTTCTATTAATAGACTTTATATTTGGTGTCATGGGATTGGGATGATGCATTACATTATGCTAATTAAGAAAACAAGCAAAAGGATTGAAATTCACACTAATTTTTAACAGTAGTAAAGAAAATTGAAGAAATTTAATAAAATAAACAATTGAATGTGTAATTTGAATATGTTTTGTCTTGTATAACGTATATACATAAATTTTAGGTCAGCTGATTTAAATGATTGTCGCTAAACTCTTTTTACTTGCACTCGATGATGTAGTCATAAAAAGTGTTAATACATTTAGATAGTTCCGTTCATTCTCATTTTCATTTCATACAATCAGTATAAAATGAAATGAATAAGTAAAATAATATTCTTACATTCACAGCTTCGTGCGTAAGTACATTTTATAGCCGCAAGTCATACGTTTCGTATTTGTAAAACTTTTATATAATACATGTTATCTATTTAAATCACACCATTCTAGGGAATGCTATTATTAAACTGCTTACGTTTCAACTGATTTGTTTTACTTTGTAATTTGCAATGTACGTCATTGCGCGGTTGTTTGTGCGTAGAAACGTTAGCTGAATTTATAAGGTAATTTTTAAGTCACGGTTAAGTAAACTTTTGTCGAACTTACAATCTCGTTCCACTGGTTTTGTAAAACTCCGTGGGCCTCTACATGTTTTAGAAAGAACCAGTGATGATATCCATCATTTGCATCCGCAAACAATGGAGAATTGATGCAAATAAAAAGCCTATAGCCTCATCGCCTTGTGACGAAATACATAACAGATTCTTAGTCTAAAATAGATGTAAGTTAATGCTATTTATACTAGAAACCGTACGAGTCTAGATAAAGATGCTTAGGGTAGTCGTGTTCACCTCCCACGCGTTGACTTCCATGCACTTTACGCCTATAAAAATTTATAAAAACAAATAGCTACCATATACGACGCTCCCGAGGGAGCGTAACGACTCTCAGTCGTTGATAAAAAGAGATTTAGACCTAAGAGCCTTCGCTGAACTATCTGAAACACGGCATAACTCCTCAAAGCAGTTGAAATTGAATCTAAAAAGTAATACAGTAGGACTACTTACAAAACTTAATACATTGTACATTTTGGAACATCGATTATCACATTTCATCCAACTTAGGGTCACAGATGTTGTACTTTTATGGATTCGTGTTATGTGGTTGATGCTAAAATATTTGGCAAGGCGACACAAAAATACTAATTTATGTGTAGTATGTTAATTCTATGGTGTTAAGGTCTAGTCAAAACTATATAAATTGGCAAGAATTATGACCGCTATTTATTTCCTCTTAGTAATTTAATAACAACACAACACAGTAAATAGGATGGTGTCCGATCTTTGTGATTATAAGACGTGTATATTGTTAACGATTAGTCATTTTGATATATTCCTAGATAGAGATAGTCATGTTCCCGTCCTAGATATGAAGAATACAATTGTAAACAAGCGTTGTTTCTATACGTCTGATACTTACCCACTTAGGTTTTATAGGAAAACAATCGCGAGGCCATTACGCTAAGTGCAGGTTGGATCGAAGGCAATCTATTAAAAGTTTGTGGACGACGTTATTGATTGAAGAGCTCATTTTATTTACCTTTCGTCTCGGGGGTCCCACTGCTGGAAAAATTGGATGCCGGATAGTTACGATGCCGGCCTTGTGTGTAACAAGGTTAGAAGAATTACTTACCCTCCGGACTTTGCTTTAAACTGGATTACGAAGGAATCTAAGATTTTTTTTCATAAAATTTAAGTTTTCTATTTTTAAATGTGCTTTGTTTTACAAGAAACCAAAACACATCGCGCGTAGACCAAATAATATCTACAAAACCTTTCAGATTCCATTATATGATTTTATTTTTATGTTCACTACCAGTGTCAAAAATGTATGATATCAGACGTTTAATATAATGAGAGTAAGTGTGTATTAGGAATATGCATGCTGTCTGACCAACCTATGTATATCACTGTGTTATTTTATAAAAAGATTTAACGCCTAATATTTGTTTATGGCCAATTAAATGTAATTTGTAATGAGCTACTCTTTAGTTTCTAGTTCTGCAAAAAAATCTGATTATTGGATATTTCAATTTAGGCCCTTTATGTTAACAGTAAAGTTGTCTGTCGACACTACTCGCTCTCTAAAGAGATTAGTTAAGGGAAGCCACAACTGTGCGTTCGTGACCCGTTTGGTGTCCACGGCGCATGCTTATGCTTTTATTGTATCTAAGTTAACTTTGCTTAATTTAATAATATTACTTGTAGTATCAGTAATCTTCAACCAAGGGCGTAGTATGACAGTTTGGTTTACTAGCTCGAGGAGTTTAGAGCCAGTCGAGACGCGGTACGTTGTTGAGAGTCGGTCGCGAGTGAACTTCGCCAAGTGCCGTGGCAACTTGGTAATGGTGAAGAAGATAGTGGCTAAATAATGAGTGATAATGAAGAAGAAGGGTATGTAGATTTCTAAACCCTTAACAGTTATCAAACGAATATAGTAGCTGAGTAAAGTTAAAGTTAGTTTAAACATCGTATCATCGAGTTTCGCCAGTTGTTAAAGCTAGTAACCAGCCAGTTGTTAGCACAATTGATGGTATTTCATTATTATATTAGCGTTTAAAATTGAAGATAATTTTTGTCTTTTACATTCAAATTTATTGAAAAAAGTTAAACGTTAAAAACTATATAACTTTCATGTTAAAAAATAACAAATTGATCAAAACTCGATTGCAAATTGTTAATTATTTTGGTATACCTACAGTATGGATAAGATTACGAGTTACATTTGGGTTTTTCTATTTGTAGATTGGCCATTGATCCAAAACTGGGCTACCGCGTTCGGTTTCCCAGTCACATCATTCGAGAAACGTGAGTTCTTTTTACTCGCAGTCAAGTTTTCTGCATGCGTCATAGAAAATCTGACGACATGAACTATTTCCGTCTAATGCCGTAATACACTTTAGAGCTTTCTTTCCATGCAAATAAATTACTTGCGTCTCAAATTCGTTTATATAAGCAATTAACTTTCTTTTGCTGTTAAATTTTAAGTTGCCTCTTTACTGGGCTTATTGTGTTACATGTGTGTGCTACGCTTTTAGAACTTTTTTGCTTACGCTATTTAATTAAGATCTATCATACTTAACGATATTACTAGTTTTTACTAGTGTTAAAGATATATTAAGTTATTTCAAAATTTACATAAATATAAAGTTGCCATAAATGGTATGACATCTTGTAGATGTCAAAAGAGAGTGAGAAATAAAGAAATTCAAAACATCCATACATACTATAGTAGCAAGGGACGATAAAAGTATCTAAAGTATTAC